TGTGAAAAAGGTAGAAGTTGGCAGTGAACCCTTTGGCACAGGGGTTGACACACACACACACACACTGGCTCGCGGCTCGATGTAGCCTCGCGCGTGGAGCGAGGGTGTAGCCAAGCAGCCTCCATGCAGCTGAACGGCATCCACCTGGGCACCTTGGGCCTTTTGCACCACCTCTTCGATCCCTTGGTCCATGAAGACCCCCACCACCAGCGGGCTGCGCTGGCCTGGGGCAGTGAGGCGAGGGGATGAGATGTTGCCCAGAAAACGGGAAAAGGAGTGCGCATACCATGACATGTCCAGATGTCAACTATTTGGAAGGACTTGCTTACTTTGGGAGGGTGCTGTGAATCTACACCCAGTCAATCATGCTATGTTCAAGTCACGGGGAAGAATCAAAACACACTCCATATTTATAGCAACTCTAAAAATATCCTAGGAACAAGTGCATCGCTTCTAGTAACAAGGGCCTTACTAGTAGTAACAATGTTTGCTAGTAACTATAAGGCGATGGGCTTTGGGTTGTCGTTTGCCCGGGCCGACTCTTTAAGCCTCTTCTCCAAGTCACAGGCCTTGCGCAGCGCCACCGAGCGAGCTGAAAAGGGCGAACGGGGACCCGCTGAGCCGCCGTTGGTGTATCCTCAGCTGGATGCAAAGCTATTTGGTCTTCACCCAAATACAGAAACATGCAAACTCAAACACCCTGATTTGCTACATGTCCTTTTTATTACAGTTTTTGCTTTTCGGCTACGCAGGGTTTGAGAAAGATTTCAGCCATCAGTTTTGAGTATCCAACAAGGCATTGTTCAAGACAACTTGGGACATATGTAAAACACTGGGAAAACACCCACGTTGAAGGCTTTGCCCAACGAACAACAAAATGTAGCCCTGAAGATGGTGAATGCAAACAAATGCAGTTGAAGCAGCTCATTTCTTCCAAACCGCTTTTAAGAACGCTGTCAAACACTGTTGAAACACCCAGAAAACACCGGCAGAAAAGGTCCCTCTCTCCCTGCAAAAACCGGGTTTCCACCATTCGTGGCACGCGCTGCTGGCGCTCGCTCGCTGCGCTCGCCAAAGCGCTGCACCTCTTGGACAACTGCCTGGGCCTTGAGATGAACGGCGTCAAACTGGTCGTGAAATCGAGAACGCCATTGAATGGACCTGGAAGGTGTCATGAATGGACACTCATATGGGATGTTCGTTATTTGCTCTAGTAAATTTATGTAATTATACAGTTGAAGCGATCGATGATCCGAAGAACACCATTGAACATAGAGAGACCGTAGGTTGACAAAGTGTGAAACATCAAGTCAAAGGGATTGTCTGGAGTCCAAAACAGGTGGATTGACTGCTCCCATCTTGCTAGCCCTGACAAACAAAACACACACAAAAACACACAGCATTCAATGTTCAGCACAGCCGGGTGTGTGAACTACCTTTAGTGCTGAGTCAGGCATGTGATGTCCTACCTCCGTGGCCACAACAAAATGCATCAGGCCGGCAAACCTCTAGATCTAGAGGTCCATCCTAGGTCCATCCATATCATCTCATAAAAGTCAAACACCATCAAAACCCCTTCCCACCACCTGAAACGCGTGAATTTTTCGGCACCGGACTCGGCTCGCGAGGCTCGCACCTGTTCCAAGGAGGCTTGCCGCTTGGAGCTGGCGAAGATCACCCCAATGAGGTTCGCCCCCGCCTTCACAGCGCACAACGCATCCTCGGGGCGTCGCACGCCGCAGACCTGCGGTGCTTCGCTTCGCCGGAGGTTCGCCGACGGGCCTTTGGGGGGACAAGGTCGGATGGATATCAACGTCGGGATGGATATGACAACCGAGTCTGACCAGGACCTAGCCGCATGGCATAGATATAGTCACTTAAGCCCAGGTTCCATGTAGATGTTGCCAGTGCGATACACACACACACACTTACCTCCCTGAATGATGCAATGGTGCTGCAGGTCTGTTACATCTATAGGTTTTCGATGGTTTTCGTCTCCTCTGTTTCCCAAAGCTCTGATCACTTGCTTTTCATACCAGCCCTGCCTTCACCAAGACTTCGCCCGGTCGCACTGGTAGAGCCCCATCCGAGGATGGGCCCATCATCGCTAGGATCGCAGCGCCTCCGAATGCAACTGCAGGGATGGCAGCACCATCAACCAGAACAACCACAACAACAATTGAAACACACATCCCGGATCGTGCGTGACCTGGAAACCATCCGAATGGTTCCAAAGTGGAGCCTCTCATCACGGCCTCTCATCTCCTTCCCCAATTATACAAGCATAGACCCCAAACAGCTTCAAAACGATTCGCTTAGACCAGTATTAGTCAAAAATTGATTTCTTGGTACGCACTACTTTCACCCCAAGAGCAAACTGTTTCATCAATGATTTTTTGTCGGCATTGACATCGCTATTTGTTCGGCCACACTCCTCTCCAGTAAGCCGGGCCACAGAGACCAGCCACAGAGTTCAGGGGCGCGGCCAAGACAAGGACAAGAGGAGGACAAGACCCGGACACAGAGCCTGGCCACAGAGTTCAGGGGCGCGGCCAAGACAAGGACAAGAAGAGGACAAGGCCCAGCCACAGAGCCCAGCACAGAGGACAAGAGGAGGACAAGAGCCCAGTAGGCCGTCCATAGCACAGGAGCGTGCGCGCGCTCGCCCTGCTCTCTTTCTTCCTCTCTCTGTCTGTCTGTCTCTCTCTCTCTCTCTAAGTTTCTCTCGCGCGCCTTTCTGGAGCGTATTTCAGAGCGCGCCAGAGCGCGCCGTCCAAAGCGCGCGCGCTCCTCCTGCTGTCTTTCTCTCTCTCTCTCTTTCTCTTTAAGTTTCTCTTTCTCTGTCTTTCTCTCTGCGCAACGCTGTAAGCGCGCTTTTCTGGAGCGTGAGCGCGCCGTCCATAGCACACGCCCTGCTGTCTTTCTTTCTTTCTTTCTTTCTTTCTCTCTCTCTCTCTTTCTCTTTAAGCTTCTCTTTCTCTGTCTTTCTCTCTGCAAAGCGCGCTCTGAGCGCGCCTTTCTGGAGCGTATGTCAGACCGCGCCCGGCCTGGACACAGAGCCCAGCCACAGAGTTGACAGAGTTCAGGAGGACAAGGCCTGGACACAGAGCCCAGCCACAGAGTTGACAGAGTTCAGGGGCGCGGCCCGTGAGTGTGGCCAGTTCTTTTCTTTCTAAGATAGAACCCCAACCGTAAACTGTTTGGGGGAAAAACACGATTCAGTGAGTATAGGGAAACACCACCGGTGGCTTGGGCGTCGCGTGGCGAAGCTTCGGCTTCGCCTGGATCGCTGGCTCGCATTAAAGCCTCGCCCACCAGAATTCCACTGCAGGAGATCTCTCGGCACCTCGTCGCTGCGTACAGCGGCTCCCGGCCCGCGGGTGGCGGCATTCAGCGTCGTTTTGGCTTGGTTGAAGTGACCATGAGTGGGGTGGGACGAAGCACAAGTTTACCAATGCCAATTCGGATCAGATAATAAAGGTGATCGCCTCAATGGAAAGCCACCAAGAGGGGTACACAATCAAATTTTGTGGCTGTTTGGCTTTACAGCACATTATGGAGTGGAGAGAGGAGTTTGTGGAGGTATCAAGTCTAGCAACCCCAACTAATGTTGATGCACAAAAGCCTGCACCACCCACCGATAGTCAAGCAAGCAGCCCAACACAAGCACCCTTTCTTTAGGGTCTGTTTGTAGGTTTGTTGATTGTTGAATTGATATATGTTTCTAGGATTGATATCTTGTTCAAAGCCAGCTAAATCAAAAACGGCTGTTCAATGGACAAAAGGCAGCTGTTCATGTGAGTATAGGGAGTCTTGGTCGGGCAATTGCAGCATTAATACCACCCCCAAGAGTTGAACCCCCGCAAAGGGGTGTTTCCAGTGGAGGGTTATTCATCCAGAGTCTACATAAAAGAATCCCCCAAGTCCTTCCTCCCCGCTCCGGGTCGCTGTGCCACGTCCTCTGCCGTGGCCAGGCCGCTCAGCGCCAGAAGCTTCGTGCTCTCGCCACGGCCGAAGGAGATGGAGCGCTCCTCGGAGGGGCCAGTGGCAGGGTGTATAGGGGAGGGGAGAACAGTGAGAAGGGAGTTGTTTGGAGAATCATGAAAGGTACGGTTTAATGCTATTGGAGTTTTGTTTGGAGATCATGAAGGAAGGTCCCATGTTATGTGTGAGAGGGGATTCACGATGTGTTCAGGGTTCTATCTGAGTTTGACTTACTGGGTCGCCATCGTGGTGAAACGAGTTGGTTGGAGCATCTCACTTTTTTCTCATCATTGCCAAGCAAACGGTCTCCAACAGCAAGATCCAACACAGCCAAAGCTGCGTTTGCATCTCTTGCGACTTCAGCTCTCTAATGGTCATTTCCCCCGTCACTTGGAGACAAATGCTCTCGCCACTCCATGACTATAACTCTATAGGTCTTTTGAGGGTGCTACTTGACCTTATGTAAACAACCTGGCGAAGCCAACTTGTGGCAAACTGCACCGACGACATGACGGCTCCGGCCTCCCTGCGAGCCCAAGGCTAGCAATGTTTACAAACACAAGGTAGCACTCTTTCATGACCATCACCAACCATCACTTGGGATACAAGGGAAGGCTCCTTGAGGTCATGTACTCACGAAATGTGCACCCACCACAGTTGAAGTCCAAACACCACATTAATGTTGCAGAAGATCAAACCACTGGAGTAAGTCGTTCATCTCTCATGGAAATCATGTGAAAATCAAAGACATTCAAAAACAGATCACTCTTAGAGGTTCAAGGAGAACCTGGGCAAACCATTCCATGATTAGAGAAACAAAAAACAAAACCAAACTTTCCGAGGGACTCAAAGATGGTCTTTTAGTACAGTAGTTCCTACAGCCAATTCTAGCCATTTTCAGCAAGCAAAAGACGCCCAAAGACAGAAAACAACATCCTCTCCGCCAAGTGTCTCGCAACTCCTGCGCAATGGCGGCAGTGCGATGTTTGTCCAGAACCAACGTGTGTAGGTTGCCTGGTCTGGAGCTTTGGAGCCCACCGAGAGCGAACTGTGGTGTTTCTGCGAATGGATGACGGAGAATTGGGAGAACCATGTTGTTCTATTCGTGACGAAAGGTATTGGGATCACGAATCATGAGTCTTGATGACTGCTAGTTGCACGATGTTGCACGTTCTGTGTTGTTTAATGGTCTTGCCTGTTGATTTAATTATCCAAAGTAACAGCAGCTGAACAAACATGTATGCGGCTTACATGGACATTCACCCCCCTTTGGATGATTCTGGAATTGGTAGTAACAAGGGCAGCGGCATCGCTACTAGTAACAAGGGCACTACTACTAGTTACTAGTAGCTTAGTAGTTTCTTGCTACTAGTATATATAGTAGCCATGCCCTTGTTACTAGTAGCTTCTTGTTCCTAGCAGTAGTACCAGGAGCTACTATTAGCTTCTTGCTTCTAGTAGCGATGCAGTTGTTACTAGCAATGGCCTCATTTGTCTGTTGACTCGGCATCTCCATTCATCCGAGAAACGGTTGTTCACGCCAATGACCCGAGCACCGACGCTCAAGGCGACGTCCAGTTCGCGGCTGGTGACCACCTCCACCAGTGGCTCGATGCCATTGGCTCCTGAGTTCATGGAAAAAGCAGGGCGAAGCAGTGAATGCAAAGTTTAAACTCAGACTGCTGGTTACTGCATGTTGAAAAAACATGAACAACATGAATAATAGAACCAAACCTTGCCCCTCTTGACACAGCTTCCTGCTTGGTTATTTGTTATTTGTTCCTTTTTGCTGTTCTCTGGCTGCACAACTTTCAGCCCAGTCCTGCGTTGAGGAGCCAATGGTAGAAGGAAACAACATGTATACGCACATTCATTCTCTGCTCTGAAATCCTTGGAACCACCTTTTTCAACCATTGAAAGGAGTTCAAGTCCCAAAGTCTACAAGTGGGCTTTTAGCTCAGAACAAACTCTACAAACGAGCCACGTAGCCTTCCGCGAGCTATGCTTGTCTGGTGCAACCTGCGCAGCCACAGAGACCGCCCCAAACCGCGGGGTTCCGCTGGCCACGATGGACTTCGTCGCAGGAACTCTTGTGGGCTCTCGCCGGGGCAAAAAAATGGCTGCGACCGAGGATCGGCAGTACTCCACGAGTGCGCGCAGTTTGGATCGACTGAGGACGGAGACCTTGGTCACGAGTACATCGTCGAGGGACAGCTGCGAGAGCTTAGGAGGACATGGAATCGCCTCCTAAAAAAATAGGGTTTCCCTGCATTGCATGTTTTATGCAAGTTTGACCAAAAATTGTTGGATCCTAATTGCATCTAATTGCTGTATGTAGATTCTGCCTATAGATAGTGATGTGATGGCTGGGGGTCATGAGACCAAGCTACCTGGTGTCGCTTCTTCGCGGCACATGGTGGACTGGTCGGGTGAACATGGTGGGTCACGACCCGGTCGGCCAAATGTCACCTGAGTGCTTCCAAAATCAGGCCCCAAAGCCTCAGGGCCCAGGACTACCATATCTTTATTACTCTTTTTGAAATAAATTGGTACAGTTTCATAAAATATCATACAGTGGTTTCAGAGTAGATGGCACAAACCCCAAGATGTCTTTTAGATGGGGATCATATACTTACTTATCCAAAAGCACAGCGCATCAAAAGGTTAACCTTTTTGCCCAAAATTCTTCCGCAAACCATACTTCATGCATGGCGTCCCCAATCCATATGATACCAACTGATATAAAATACATTGACTTGGGGGAAGTTAGGTGATATATGTCAAGGAACGAAACTTCACACTCTGTTTCAGCCGCCCCAATCACCTGGTCTTGCCCAGGCCTTGCCACGGCGCCAGCCTTCTAAACTTGCTCGATCAGTCGGAAGCACAAGCGACATGACGCCGAGCCCTTTGTGTGTGTGTGTTTGGGGACCGGGAGGCTCGACCAAACAGTTGTTAGGGGCCCAGGGGTGTTTGGTGATTGGGCGTTGGCTTTCCTTGCGTTCGACCAAAGCTGCATCGGACAGATCCTTGAAGAGGAGCGGTGCCCCAGCCACGCAATCAGCCATGCAATGCTTGCACATACAGCCCAGCCATGCAATCTGATCCTTCTTGCTTTGGAGCTGGCGGCTTGCTCAAAGCCTATCACATTGAAAATGATGAGAAGAAGCTTACGGGAAAATTTCAACTTGCAAGCTCCAGCTCCATGCGAGCGCCCCTCACACTTCAGAATTTGCCAGGCTCCTGACGGCAGGCTCCTGACGGCAGGAGTCAGGCGCTTGCGCTAGCCAGATCACTCCAGTGGCAAGCTTACAAGGCAATTACCCCTCAAGGTGATTGGAGTGAGCGGAAGGGAATGTGTATTGAGGCGTGAGTTTGCTCTGACACGTGTTCTGGCATCAAACCTGGTAAGTACTCTGATATGTATTGTGACATATTGCTGATATGCATTCCGGCTCCAGGTCTGGGATGTATTCTGACATCACAAGTGTTCAGGTATGTCATTATGACACGTGTTCTAGCATCAAGGCATGCCAAAGGCAGCACCTCCTAACTCGGTGGATGTTCAGACGTTGAGGACGAGACCTCGTAGTTGTTGGTAGGTGCTCGTTGTCTGCTCATGAGTAGTAGTCTTCCTAGTTCACCCGATCTTGGGGGTCGGTAAAAAAATGTTTTGGTTTCTGGTATCACTTGTTAATTTTGTTTTTTGGCCGACCCCTCTCCCGGCACAAGTCAGTGCATCACACAGTAACCCATTAAAGCTGCACAGCGCGGGAAAGGATCGCATGAGACCATCCACGCCAGGTGCATTAGTTGCGAATCAAACTCAGGCATGCATTTGTCATGTTCTTTGAGTTGGAAGTCCAGGGTGTTTTTGACCGCCGCTGAAAAAAATCCGCTTTCAAAACAGAAAAGGATGTTATACGGGTGTGTGTTTTCCAGCGTTCTCGAAAATGCTTGTTTTAGGACTTTGCATGTTGAAGGTGATAGTGAAGGGTATGTACACCCCTACCCAGGCACTCCATGTAATGTGGTAATAATGTCTAAGCGCCCAGTTCTACCATTGGTATTAAAGGTTGACTGTTGAGCCATGCGCTTGCCGGCATGAGAAAAGTCAGATACGCTTGCGCGCTTCGAAACCCCATGCTACACCTTGAACTCAACATCTGGATAGCAACATCTCATTGACAAAAACAACCCCAAAAAGCAGCGCAACTTTCGGGATCTCTCGGTTTTGTGTCAGCGCCCTTCCTCTTTTGCTCTGGTATGAGTTTGTAAAGACCGGATGCCAGAACACATGTCCATATGAGCATTTGACAAAAACTAGTGCGTACTAAAGTAGCCACAGGGTATCACAGGCCTGCTCGTAGCTAAAGCGCCCATAGGCGTTGCGAAGGTCCACCTGGAGCGGATCGAGGAAAGTGTCAAAGAAGGCCACAAAAGGCCATCGAAACTGGCTGTGGCTCACGGTGCCAGGATACCGACCCCCCGAAATAGAATACATCGAGCCACTTCACTTCAACAGGGAAACGCAGGGCCCCCCGGAGAGAAACGCAGTAAAACCACCGCCCGGGCGGTTGTCTCCTCTTTGCATACTTTTTGGGTCAACGGTCCCTAATAAGATCTATCATCTAATAATGTTTGAACCTGCGGCCTGGTTAAAGCAACCCCTGGAATAACATCACCGTTTTCATATTTCAACACAATTAGTATCGGGCTTCATTTGCCATTCACCCTGTGACCTGTGGGAGCTTGATGACCCACAGGTATTGCCCGATCCAGGCGTGCCTTCCTAGAAGAAGGCAATGCCAGCCAGATGCCTATGCTCGGTAGCGGGCGGCGGGGGTTGTGATACGACCATACCGCCATGAGGGTCCAAGCTTGCACAAGACCATGCCCCCGAGGCAACTGGACCAGGCGACGCAGGTTGAAACTGATTCCTAGCATTTGTTCCGCCGACCTCACACTGCGATCCCTTCTTATGCACTTCAAGTAGCCTCCGCGATTCTATTGAGGAGAATGTGTGCTTGACAAGAGGGGCAAACCACAGCTCACAGGGTGAATGGCATTACCATCACCATTGCCACAGGTCAAGGTCATTACCCGTATGACGGCCCATTAGCACTAGCGTTACCATTGTTAGCATAGGCATTAGCATCACCATTGGCAGGCCCAGGGTGACTGGCATCAAGGTCCCACAGCTCACCGGGTGAATGGCATTTTCATCACCATTGCCATTTGCATTGCCATCACCATTTGCAATACCATTGCTGTACGAATTGGCACTGCCATTGTGATCCCCGTTGCCACAGGTCAAAGGTGAACGGCATGAAGTTCCCACTCTCACAGGTCACAGGGTGCATAGCTCCCACAGGTCAAAGGGTGAATGGCATTCCATCACCATTGTCACGAGCATTACCATTGCCATAAGCATTGCCTCAAAGGGTGAATGGCCATCACCCATTACCTTGGCATCACACCAGCTTTGCCATTGACATCAGTATCAAGACCCGGGACCTTAAGGGTATCCGGGACCCGGAAGATCCTGGGTCCCGGATCTATAAATCCACTGCAGGTTTAGCTCCGTCACTTCCTTCGAGCGACCCCTACCATGACACTGAACATAAAAAAAATAATGCGTCTTCTCTAGCATTTGTTTTCGCGTATCTGGCACCCATTTTAGCGTCCCACCTGCTGGAAACAAGTACTTCACAAACCGGGGCCCGGGGTCCGAACCAAATAGAAAAATATCTATATATATATACATATATATATCTATTTAGTAGTGACATCAAAACGAAACCTGTTGACATCTCCGGGACCCGGCGTCCGGGACCCGGTTGGCGGGTCCCGGACCTAGAATTCCAGTGTCATTCGTGCGGCCCCTACATTACATTACCTTGAATTCTAATTTGTTTGTGACACCTTCTCTAGCGTTGTATCCGTCATCCTTTTTGGCGCTCCACATGCTGGAAACAAGTAGTTGGATCCGGGACCCGGGGTCCGACCCAAATAGAAGAAAAGATCTGCGTGAAAAGATCTATTTATTTATGATTGAAACTTGAAACCAAAACAAAAGAAAACCTGTTCACATCTCCGGGACCCGGCGTCCGGGACCCGGATGGCGGGACCCGGATCCCGGGTCCCGGACCTAAGGTTGCAGTGCCAGTTTAGCTCCGTTACTTCTGACAACCCCCACATAAGAGACGCCGATGTTTGAAGAGCACCTGCTTCACCCCTGAAAACATTGATTCCTGGCCCCTGAGTGTCCGCTGCCACCGTGAATTGCAAAGTCATCCACGAATACGGTCAGGTCCTGCGAATGCACACGCTACGGCAAGGCCATGATTGCTGTCCTATTTCCGTTTCAAAACGGGCGCTACATTCGCCTTCAAATTGTATTGTTGTCCATTGACTCTTCCAACCCTTCGCAAGTGATTGGAGAAGGGTTGTTGTTTCTGCTCCGTTTGCTCATCCAAGTGTTCGAAAAACGAATGAAGGTAGCTTTATTTATAGTGCAAGGGGGCAGGTCGCAATGCCAACTCAAATTGCCCCTATCAATTAACAACTGCGCCCCCTTCCAATTCATCAGACACGCATTTAAGAAGCATAATTTCTTCCAACGCGCGTCATCCCTGCAGGTCAAAAACATGACACTTATCGGGGTAGTTACGACGCACGGTGGCGGTTTTCCACAGTCACCAAGTGCCCATCCAACAAACGCCCTCCCGCTACGCAGCTGTTGCCAGATTCGTACTCTAGAAGGCCCCTGCTCTCTTTTTCCGCAGTAGAGATGAAGTCCGAAGATCAAGGACCTTGGCAGCATAGCGAAAAAGGTGCTCATGGAGTCTGAGCAGCCATGGCCCGACCCATGACACGGTTTTTCCACTGTGTTTGGAGAGCTGTGCAACACGTGGAGTCTGAGCAGCCATGGCCCGACCCATGACATGGTTTTTCCACTGTGTTTGGAGAGCTGTTGCAGTGGGTGGTTGGGATTACAAACAACAAGGCCCAAAAGACCCGTTGGACGCGGCTAGCCTTCTGGGTAAAAGCTTTGATTGGCACAGCGAAGCTCACGGTATCGGAGCCCCTATCTATGGGTGTGAAATGGCTGTGTATATGGTTCCGTTTGCATGTCGTTGGCGTCTTCAACGTGTGTAAAAGCAACCCCACTCACTGATCGT